TAATTGCATCTTATTTTTAATGAAATTATGTAACTTAAATTTAAGTACAAATGCATCAACATCTGAAAACTTTTTTTTAGCGCGGAGAAAAAGAAATTAATCTAAGTATTGTAAAACTTCAGTCAGACCTGAGCTGCGATGGCTCACAGGATAGAGCGTTCGCCTTCCAATAAAGCGAACCGGGTTCGATTCCCAGTCGATACGAATTCCGCATCTACCTTGCACCGACCACAGTGGTGACGGGAAATATCCTCAGTCGTAGATGGATCATGGTTAGAGTCCCCTCGCCGTCAGGCTAACCGTTGGAGGTTCACGTGGTCTTCCTTTCTATGTAACGTAAATGCGGGTTAGCTCCATCAAAAAGTCCTCCACGAAAGCAAATTTCTCCCAATACTCGATCCAGGTGCTCCCTTGTCTTCTGTATTAGGTTCAAAATTACCAGGCTACAGAGTTGAACATTAATAGTCGTAAAGCCATAAAATTGGACCGGCTGTTCAACGACGGTTATAAAATAAAATATAAAATTCTAATTACCTATTTTTGGGAAACACCGAACTAAAGTCAGTACAGCAACAATTATTATGTGTTAGAAAACTCAAAAAATAAGAAGTACATCATTGTGAAATAAGTATTTTTTCAAACTTTTTTTTTCACGTTTTAATCGTCAGCACGAGTTTAACTCTGATAAATTCAGCAATATTAGACTAAAAATTTGAGAAGGCAGTCTCAATATTTCTGATATCCCTTAAGCTTTAAAAAGCCGCGTAAAATGCATCATAATTAATTAAACGATTTCAGAGTAATTGCGTCTCATTTTTCAGGAATTATGATACTAAAATTAATTGCAACTGCGAAGACATTGAAAAACCTTTTTGTACTCCGAAACGAAAATCAATAATCTAAGTATTGTACACTTGATTAAAAACTTGATATTTCTAATTTCCTATTTTTGAGAAGAATCAAACAGATATTAATATTGCTACAATTATCATTTGTTAGGAAACTTAAGCCAACTAAAGACAGACAGAAATAAATACATCATGTGAAATCGTATTATTAATATTATTAATTTTTTTTAGTCTTTACAAATATTTTCTGATGTTGTTATTATCCTCGGCACGCGTTTAATTCTGATAAATACAGCATCTTCCTAACAGATTGAAAATTTGAGATAGCGATCTCCAAGTTTCCGATATCGCTTAGTAAGTTTTTAAAAAAAAAACACGTAAAACGTATCATAATTAATTAAACGATTTCTGAGTAATTGCATCTCATTTTTCATGGAATTACGTAACTAAAAATTAACTACAAATGCGTCGACATTGGAAGGCTTTTTTGAACCCCGAGGAAAGAGAAATTAATCTAAGTATTTTAAATCTGAAGAAGAAAAAAAACTTGTTTCTAAACATCCAAAACTTTTTATACTAGAAAAGAAGGAGGGGATGAAAAATTACTCCATTTTCATTGCACACGTGATCTGAAAAGGTAATGATGACTAATACATCTTCATGTGTTATTTCGGTAGCAGGTAGTCAACTTAACCCCCCTGCCTTAGGCGAAAAAAGTAAAGTTAAAAAAAATAGGGTCGTGAGGTTTGCTTTAGCGGGTGGCAGATCAAAATTAGAGCAGATTAGGATTTTTAAAAAAATCCTCCAATAAAAAGAACGAAATCGTTTTAAAATACTTCTGTAAATTACCTTTTCAGCAAAGGTTTTTTTAACACCAATCGCTGAAGAGTTTTCTATTTAAACTATTCTCTATGTGTTAAGCCTAATATCTGGTGATATTTATTCTACGATTATTATTACAAGACCATTTATTATTTCTGTTAACTGCCTTAGCAACAAAGGTTTTTAATATCAATCGCTGAAGAGTTTTCTATTTAAACTATTCTCCGAGGGTTAAGCCTAATATCTGTTGATATTTATTCTATGGTCATTATTACAAAACCATTTATTATTTCTGTTAACTGCCTTATCAGTAAAGGTTTTTAACATCAATCGCTGAGCAGTTTTCTATTTAAACTATTCTCCAAGTGTTAAGCTTAATATCTGTTGATATTTATTCTACGATTTACAATAACATTTATTATTTCTGTTAACTGTCTTATCAATAAAGGTTTTTAACATCAATTGCTAAAGAGTTTTCTATTTAAACTATTCTCCATATGAAGCCTAATATATGTTGATATTTATTCTATGATTATTATTACAATAACATTTAATATTTCTGTTAACTGCCTAATCAGTAAAGGTTTTTAACATCAATTGCTAAAGAGTGTTCTATTTAAACTATTCTCCATGTGAGGCCTAATATCTGTTGATATTTATTCTACGATTATTACAACAAGAACATTTATTATTTCTGTAAACTGTCTTATCAATAAAGGTTTTTAACATCAATTGGTGAAGAGTTTTCCATTTAAACTATTCCACAAGTATTAAGCCTAATATCTGTTAATATTTATTCCACGATTATTATTACAAAACCATTTATTATTCCTGTTAACTGTCTAATCAGTAAAGGTTTTTAACATCAATCGCTGAAGAGTTTTCTATTTAAAGTATTCTTCAAGTGTTAAGCCTAATATCTGCTGATATTTATTTTAAGGTAATTATTGCGAGCATTACACACGTATAAGTGTTGAGAGTTTGACGACTTTGTTCTTTGTGCAAAATATATATCTGATTCCATGAAACAGAAGATTAACAACAAATTTAATAGTTTAATCATAAAATAAATCTTTTAAAAATTTAAAAGAAAATGGAAAGATATCCCAATCAAGGAAAAGTGGTACATCGTGCCGAAATAGGTTTATACGTTCAGAAGCATCAGTAATTTCTTAAACACTTAATAGTTTCACTTTCACTGGACAACGTTAAGCTCCTCCTCTATTTGTGTTTCTCAGTAGATTATGAAACACAGAGATCGCAATATAAGGTATCTGAGAAGCAAGGAAACTTTAATAATTCTCGAGAAATTCGCATCGGGTGAAATGTTTAAAAAATTCAAGTGTGAAACATATTTAATTGATGCATTCGACAACTCGACCTATAGATTTAAATTTGTAAACAGCAGACAATACATTAAGCGTAGCTGCAAACTTTTGAAATTTTTTAAAATATTTTTTCTATGGTCAGATAGAGTAATGTTTTGCTGATAAAATGTAATTACAAGTAGCTCTGACCATATTAAAAAAATGTCCTCGGAGTTCATATGTATAAAACAATCACAAATTTATTTTGGGAAGATACATTTTGATTTGCAATAAACATTTTTTTTAAATAGCTAGTTTATATCGGGACTATAAATTTCGCTTAGCAGTATACAATTATAGAAAAAAAATATACATTTATTTCGGCATGAAAAATAATTTGGTTTTTCTGCATAATTTTATTAAAAAAATCCTACACACATGCATATATAACAGAAATTTATTTATTCATAATTTTTTTTAGGCTATATTAATGATTTGCAGAGGCAGAAGTAAAAAAATTCCCTTTAAATTCGCTTTTTTTTTCTAACGATTTTCAAATTCAATTGTCCTTTTCAAAAGCAAAAATCCGAATTTTCATCCGATATGTTGTTCTTCAAAATTTATTACTAGCATCGAAAAAAGCGCAAAAAAAAGTTAAGAAAACTTATGATTCTAAAAATAAACATTTAAATAATTAATAATTTTGAAGTAAACTACTTTCAGGCAAAACTTTCAAACAAGTAAGGAAATATTTAGATTTTAATGTAGAAAAAGTTATGAAATCTCAAATTTAATTTAGGTAGTGTGACTAAATAACTGATATTAAAAACTCTAGATGGCGCTCCTATTGCACAAAGTTTCAATATTTCTCTCTCTCTCTTTTCTTCTTTTAACTAAAGTATGCGCGTTAAAGTATTCAAACGATTAGATTAAAGTACAAAAAAGAATTACTCAATTCGCCTGAATTAAAGGTAAAGCATCTTTTTGTTCCTTTTCTTTGAGGAAAAAAAAAATTATCGTTGCACATCTTCGACACTTTACCTCTTTAATTTCTCTGAAATGAGGAAAGATCAAAGATATACGAATTAGTAAACGAAGAATTTTAAATCATTAGAAAAATTCTTAAAAATTATTTTTTTCATCATTTCATGTTTATTTAATTGCTTATGTTAAAGCAAATATAAATGAAAATTTTAAAATTTATTGCGGACTTTTCAGATTTAAATAATTTATAAATAAATTGTTTAAACGAGTCAAAACAGTTCCATAAATTATTTTTATCAAAATTTTACTTTAAAAAATTTTTAATAAAAGAGTATTTTCTTGTTACTATATGCAGCAAGTTTAATCAAATTAGATAATTTCTTATGTCATTCCTTTCAAATTGAATAATAATTCTGCTTAGTATGGATTTCTATATATAAAGACAATTTTGAATTTGAGATTATATCAAAGTTATGAAATAATTTTTTCCAAAAGGAATTAATGGGCTTTTCAGTGTAAACTAATATTATGCTTTTGGTGAATGTCGATTCTAAAAGAGTAGCATGGAATTGGCATTATTTATAAAAGCTGTACACTATAAATTACTATCCTATATACACTATAAAATACTATATACACAATAAAATTAAAACTGTATTAAAAAAATTTATTGGAATTATAAATAAATAATATTTTATGAGAAATGGATAAATTTTTAAAAGCAGAAGTTATCAAATGATAAAAATAATTTCTCCAATAATCTGTAATACTTTGTTATCAAAAAATTATATTTAAAGAAAGTTTTACAAAAAAAGCATTTAAAACAGTTGATCAAATCTAACAGACATCAAGATAGTTCTGGAATAAAATATTTTGTGAAGAAAAAACTATTATTTTGTATCAAATACAATGAAGTTTTAGGTCATCAAAATTTAACTATTCTTATTATTTTGGAAATATTTAAAAACACTTAGCTGGGAGTCATGAAATTTTTTCCAAATTTTTGAAATTTTTTCTACCTTTGAAATTTTTTTAGTCGTTTACTGTGATAACACTAGAATTAATTAAATTCAGAGATATTTAATCGAAGTGTTTAACATATATTTTCACATAATAACATTTAGCAAAAGTGTTTAAAAGGATACATTAAAATTAACTTGTGTATAAAAAATAAATCATATTTAACAAAAGTGTTCAGAAGAATTGTACCACAATGCGAATTTTCAGAGAAATTTGTAACATTTCAGAAAATAGATATCGCACATTTTATTGCTATAAAGGCAACAAATTATTGCTATAAAAATAAACAAAAAATTTAATATGGCATTTCAAATCCAAAGGTAAATAAAATAGAACAAATGTTTTCACAAAAAGCTAATCAAATTTAACGGAAGAGTTCAGAAGAGTTAATCAAAATTAAAGCGTATTCAGAATTAACCAAATTTAACAGATAGGCTCAGAAGAATATAACAAAATAGCATGCTGAGAAAAATGAATCAAATTAACAGATGTTTTTAGAAAAATTAATCATATTTTGCCACGGTGCTCAAAAGAACTAATTAAACCACGATATTTCCCCTGATCAGAAGAGTTTATAAAATTTCTCAAAAAGAATTACAAACTTTTTATTGCTATACAGCAAAAATAATAGCAAAACTTTCTTCGATACTTCAAATCAAGCGATTAAATCAAGCGATAAACAAAATCAAACATTTTCCCAAAAAAGTTAATCTGGTGTTTTTAGAAAAATACTCACATTTAACAGTAGTGTATTCAGAAGAATTAATCAAAATTAATACGTGTTCAAAAGAATTAATCACATTTAACAGATATGTTCAGAAGAAATAAGTGAATCAGATCGTTCCTCGGCTGTTCAGAAGAGTTAATTAAGTTTCATAAAATAGAGGCCCCCATTTATTGGCATCGTAATAATAATAAGGATAAGAAATAAGTAAATCACATCGTTCCTCGGCTATTCAGAAGAGTTAATTAAGTTTCATAAAATAGAGGCCACCATTTATTGGCATCGTAATAATAGTAAAGATAGGAAATAAGTAAATCACATTGTTCCTCGGCTGTTCAGAAAAGTTAATCAAGTATCATAAAATAGAGGCCCTCATTTCTTGGCATCGTAATAATAATAAGGATAAGAAATAAGTAAATCACATCGTTCCTCGGCTGTTCAGAAAAGTTAATCAAGTATCATAAAGTAGAGGCCACCATTTATTGGCATCGTAATAATAGTAAAGATAGGAAATAAGTAAATCACATTGTTCCACGGCTGTTCAGAAGATTTAATCAAGTTTCATAAAATAGAGGCCACCATTTATTAGCATCGTAATAATAGTAAAGATGAGAAATAAGTAAATCACATCGTTCCACGGCTGTTCAGAAGATTTAATCAAGTTTCATAAAATAGAGATCACCATTTATTGGCATCGTAATAATAGTAAAGATAGGAAATAAGTAAATCCCATCGTTCCTCAGCTGTTCAGAAAAGTTAATCAAGTTTCATAAAATAGAGGCCACCATTTATGGGCATCGCACAAAGGTGATCAAAAAACTTCATACGACATTTCAATTCCAGAGAGTCGCATTTATTCATTTGTTCAGTGTGTTTGTGGGTCTGCCCGGTCCCACCATACGTTATCTCATCGCCGAAATACAAGTAATCAACATCTTTTACAGTGACAGAAACACCCTCGTATTTTTTAAAAAGAGTTGCATCTTCATAGTTTATTTTCATGTCTACCAATAATTTCATATTTCCAGGCACATCAGAGCTATGCACTTTTTCCAATATTGGCGAGAAAATGGAAATGCTAGCATTACAATAAGGGCATCTAATGAGCTTGTAATTAAGTTCAAAGCGGAATTTAACATTTAAGAGAGGGATTGGCGAAAATTCAGGGGTCAGAAATTTCTTGCCATTTAGAGCTAAAAGGTTGGTTATTTTCCAATAGCCGTAGTATTCTTGGCACAGAAGATGCTCTTCGTTTGTGGTCGTGATGATAGCAGCCATGATCAGTTGAATGTTTTCAGTTGCAATAAAATCGATTGCAGCAAAAATAGAGATTCCTAAATTAAAGAAGGCAGATTCAGGATGTAGAAGGAACTCTGGAAAAAGAATGGTGGAAAAATCATGTAATTCATAAATTAAAGAATGTATAACTTTTTTCAGTTAATGTAAAGATGGTATGATGTAACTACCACTATAAATTAAAATTCCAATTCACTAGTATATAAGACACGTTTTGATTGATGAATGTTCACATAGTCGATATTGAAATTCCCTCAATGGTAATCTGCGGACGTGATCCACTTTAAATAGTTAATTTACTTAACGCTTAAAAGAAATAAAAAATCCGGTGAAGTAAACAAAAAATTTCCCGGATCAGTAAACAAAATTGAAAAAAAAAAGAGCGAAATGATATAAATAAAATAAAAAATGAAGAAAAACTATTACGCGAAAAATGATATAAAAAATAAATTTAAAAAAAACAGCATAAATCAAATAGTTGAAACCGTTCGTCGAATTCTATCACAGAAAAAATTCTGGAAAGGAAATAATATGGCGTAACTATACCACTATAAATGTTAAAACCAATTCACTATTATCTAAACACGTTAACTTGATTACATCTTGAAGTACCTTTTGATAGAAGGTAGACTTAGTCGATAATTCTCCCTTCATTAGGTAATTAATTATTAAAATTTAAAACTCAGCACACAAAATTTTTTATTTTGCACAAGCAAGCACTTTTTGTTCGTTGAAAAAGAAAAATGAAGTCCATCTTCTCGAAAAAAGGATAAATGAAATCGATTTCCTAGGATTTACATTAATTACAACTTACTATTAAAACTAATTCCCTTGATTACAACTTAATATTAAAAGCATCAATGACGTCAAAAGGTATTACATTTTATTTTATTTTACAACAACTTGTTACTATTTAAAATTTGTCTTACAAGCATTTCTGTTCAAGAAATTTCTGTCTTTTATAACATACAAAGCTACGTGATACAGCCTGCTATTTGAAGAGAAAAACAGTCGACTCTAGAATAAGTAACTTAGGTCAAAATAGTTGTTCATTATTAATAAAAAGAGATTCGTTTTAACGAACTTTCCCTACACATCCATTTTTTTAAAAAATATTTTTGACTCAAATTATACGGAGTAGCCACAAAAATGTAGTACAAAGAGTTTAATTTGGAAAGCATTTGAGCTTCTTAGTGTTAATTTTGCTTTTTATATTTTACTTGAAGACATTGTTTCCGATGTTGGTTTATTTTTTTTTATACTAATTCGAATAAAACCAATATATCTGACAAATAGTTCAAAAGGTATAAGGTTTTTTTTCGAAAAACTATAAATTAAGCAACTGATTTTGCTATCTATACAAGTGAGGCATTGAATTTTTTTTTTAAAGTTGAATCAGATAAGAATGTACTACACAAGTCAATAAAACGAATAGTCTATAATATAATAGTCTATAATAGAATATAAAATGCTTTTTGTGTAAAAAAATAGTTGTTTTGGCATCTACAACGTACAAAATAAAGATATTACTCTGAATAATTTTAGTTTTAAACATTGTATTTTCACGAACTAAGTGTCAATCTTAATGGTTCTTGGGGGTGACTTCAAATATGTGCTAATTGATTAGTGCTAACTATTAATCAAGATACGATATCAGGCACAAAACGTATTTTCTCTGAATAAACATATATTTTTTACATATTTTGATTTTTGACCTTCAGAAATAGGGTTTGACAAAATTTAGAAAAAATTAGATGAAAAATTGGGGTGCTGGAAAACTTTATATATTTGGTATAGTCCCAAAAAAAGGCCAAGCATGATCACCATAACAAAAAAAGTAATTTTAGATAACCATCAACTAACTATGTGATTGACAAGAGAGAAATACTTGCTAACATTTGCCAAGCTACCAATTTGAGACAATAAAAAAGAAAGAAAGAAATATTGAAGCCTTATCATTCATCATTTTGAGTTAACTTAGGAAAACTTTTTTTTTATCAAATGATTAACAGAATGGTTAATAGAATTTACAGCATGTTGAAATAATATCGCTATTGAGAAAAAAAATATTATAAACGAAAAGTATTTCATAGTGAAATAAATAAATTATTGTNGTCAATAAAACGAATAGTCTATAATATAATAGTCTATAATAGAATATAAAATGCTTTTTGTGTAAAAAAATAGTTGTTTTGGCATGTACAACGTACAAAATAAAGATATTACTCTGAATAATTTTAGTTTTAAACATTGTATTTTCACGAACTAAGTGTCAATCTTAATGGTTCTTGGGGGTGACTTCAAATATGTGCTAATTGATTAGTGCTAACTATTAATCAAGATACGATATCAGGCATAAAACGTATTTTCTCTGAATAAACACGTGTTTTTTACATATTTTGATTTATGACCTTCAAAAATGGGGTTTGACAAAATTTAGAAAAAATTAGATGAAAAATTGGGGTGCTGGGAAACTATCTATATTTGGTGTAGTCCTGAAAAAAGGCCAAGCATGATCACCATAACAAAAGAAGTAATTTAAGATAACCATCAACTAACTACGTGATTGACAAGAGAGAAATACTTGCTAACATTTGCCAAGCAACCAATTTGAGACAATAAAAAAGAAAGAAAGAAAAATTGAAGCCTTATCATTCATCATTTTGAGTTAGCTTAGGAAAACTTTTTTTTTATTAAATGATTAACAGAATGGTTAATAGAATTTACAGCATGTTGAAATAATGTTGCTATTGAGAAAAAATTAAAATTTTCATAAAAGACGCAAACTAAAATATTATAAACGAAAAGTATTTCATTGTGAAATAAATAAATTATTGTACCTTAACATGACAGAAATTGAAATAAATTTATCAATAAAGTATGATATGAAGTTATCTAAATGAATTAATCCCTTAAGCATGAAAAAAGTCTCTAAATTTCCCAAAACTCATAACATCTTTAAAGTGAAATCTTTTTTTTTTTTTTTTCTGTTAAAACTAATTTGTTTAAGCATAAACAGTGAGGATATTCTTACTAAATTTCATTAAAACAATATATTACTTTAATTTTAAGAATGCTAATTAAATACAGATTTGACACAAATTTACAAAAGCGTTTTTATCATATTTTAGATAAATATTCATGAAATTGATAACTTACGCAGATACAGTTCTAAACTTTTTAAAAAGCAAAATTGGTATATACCTGATGATAAAACATCTAAACTATAATTATAGTCACAGTTTAAAAAAAAATTTACTTCGATCATCTCAAGCAATCAAGCCTTTTGAAAAAAAGGAATTTTGATTGCACTAAGTAAATCATGTGATAACGCTTTTTAATTTATTTGGGTTTCTGCTCCATTTCAGAATACTTCTGTCATTAAATAATCCCACTTTTAACCGAACTTATTGGGTTTATAACTTATTTCTTTTTCTCATCGCTAGCTTTTCATATTTATATTACATGTGATGGATTAAATCGCATTATATACAAATAAATAAGAACGCAGTAAAGATAGCTTGGATAATTTAATATCTATAAACTGAACTAATAACGCAATTGTTGGTTTTTCCATAAAATTAATACCGTAACCTTTGATGGAACTAAAAATGCTGAACATGATTTATACTTTTTTTAAAAACTACTTCAAAGGGAAAAAATACTATTCAAGCATTGAGGAATGCATCAAAAAAAAAATTCCATTTACCGATTCCATCGCTATCTAATGAAAGGATAGTAGGGGTCTGACAGGATTATTTTATGAGGTCAAAAATTACTCATTAGCTCTTGGTTTAAAAAGTTAAAAATTAAATTAATGATTTTTTAAAACACTAAGAGACTTCGCCCCTACTCGCTCCGTTCATCAACACCGTGAATTCTTCTCATTCATCTGTTTTTTTTTTCTTTAAAAATCGATGTATCATTATGGTTTTTTTTATAGAACGTTAAGATACTATCATTAGATATTCAATGTGGTTTGTTTTTTTCATATTGAGCATTGAAAATTATAATTTTGTGAATGAAATATGTAATTATTATAAATGTAAGGAACTGTATTATAGATGTAAGAAGATGTTTGACTGTTTCGCAAAAAGTTAAACTTGAAATAAAAAAATTAAACTTTTTTTTCCAATGCCCATCTTTTTAGAATGACCCACCTGGGCATCATGCAGGCATTTGAAGGGCAGATTTGTTGGCTACTCTTTCAGGGGCACCACATTAGGTGGGCCAACGTTGCACCCACAGTAAGGACAAATAATACAAAGATGGAAAGAACAGCCATCCCTTGCCCGGGAATCGAACCCAGAAGCTTTCTGATGCAAGGCCAGTTCCCTAACTATTCCTAACTCCTTAATTATTGAGCTAAATATTTGAAAAAAATTTAAATTAAGTATTTGAAAAAAATTTATAAACTTACGAATACAGAATATGCGACAAAATATAAACAATAAACGAGAAGCAATTCTGCGCGTTTATTGCATAAAATGTTTTATATTTTTTTAAAAACTTCAATACGAATGTTAAAGTCTGACTTACGGACAATTTCACTCCATCATTTTGTATTAGTAATTTTTGACATCAACCTGAATTTGAGCTTGTAAAATGATAACAGAGAAAAAAAGGAAATAAATATTATATCTCATTATATCTCATCATTAATATCTTCTGAAATACAGCAGATTTGAGCACAGAAGCCATATAATTAATTTCTTTTATTAAAAACAAAATTATCTGTTGGAAAATATCGCCTCGCAGAATAAGCAGCTGTATACTTTCTAACCGGAAGTAGAGCAGGTCAAGAACTCGAAATTGTTGTTTATATTTATATTGAAAACATCACCCATGCTCTTTATGTAGATAAGCAATTCATTATTCAAATTGATGCCAGCGACTTATGTATGAGGATGTTTTGACATAATATAATGAAAGGGGGAACGAACATCTCATATTATACTAAAGCAAAAAGTATTCTCTTGCTGAAAAAAATCATAGCACAACAGAAACGAAAGTGCTTGCATTATTTTTGGTGTAAAGAAATTGCATTATTATACCGATGGAAAATCTTTCTCAATTCAAACTGTTCAAAATCTGATCCCCGCTAATGTGTTGATACTTATTCCTTCAAAATTTTAAATTTTAAAATTATTCATAAAGCTGGGAAATAAAATAATAACGCGGATAGTTTGAGTCGAGCTCTTTTAGGCTTAAAAAAAATTATACTAGCCATTGCTAATAATTTGCATAAAATTGTGGGTTAAAAATCAAAATAATCTTACTATCAATACATATTTTCATCAATGTTATATTTTATGTTCTATATTTTATTTTGTAAATACAATGATTAATATTTTCTTTATTGCCAACCGGACTATGTACCTAGCCTTGCATCTGAAAGGTTCTGGGTTCGATCAAAACTAAACTTTTTAGGAAAATAATATTTTTAAAATTAAATAAGGAATCCCATTAGCTTTTAAAATATTATATTAGGTAATAATAGAATTATAAAGTAAAAAAATAACAATATATGATGAATAGAAAATATATCAATGTAATATTACTTTCTAAATAAGTAAAATTATAGATATGAAATTCTGATTTTATATACCAAATAAAAAAAAAAAAAAAAAAAAAAAAAAAAAAAAAAAAANAAAAAAAAAAAAAAAAAAAACTCACTCAAAAAGCGAAAGGCAATTTACTTACAAATACTTACTAAACTCGAATTACAATTTTTTTTTCTTTTCTGCGATGCAATAACTACTGTTCATTCACCTTTAAGAATACAATTAACTGTAACTTCATATCCAATTGCAAGATCAGAAGCAATTAATTCTTTCCATTCATCTTTAGATATCAAATCCTGGATGTGATTGGCAGCAAATTCTTTAGATTTCCTCTTTAGACTTTCATCACCATTAATATACGCCAACTTTAGAATTTCACACACTCGATCCAGATTCAAATAAGAAACGACAATGCCAGAACATTCTCTTTTCAATGTTTGAATTTCATATTTACTCGCCAAAGTATAAAGTTCTGTCACTGTGGGAAAAGATTTGTCTTCAATTTCGCCTGAATACAGATATTTCAAAAAGCAATCGAATACATCGTAAGGTACATCACTAATTAAAATGCAGTTGTTTAAGGACTCCAAAGTACCATTAGTCGCCATTTTCAAAAAAATTGGCGAGTGAGCAATAAGAATGGATTTATGGGCAGGTATAGTTTTGTCGCCAATTTGAAAAACAATGTCACTAGTAAAAAATGATCGATACACGTGACTGGATTCACGATTAAATTGCCTCAAATTGTCAAGGGATTGTGACTCCTGTTGATATAATCCCAAAGGAGTGACATAATCATAGAACTTTAAGTTGCATTTCACTGTCAAACATTTACCAAGCATCTTTTGGAAATGCTCGGATTTCATAGACTTTCCGAACAAGTTTAAATCAGTCAGTGGAAAAACTACATCCTTGAAACTGATGATGTCCATTCTCTGCGCATTAACAGAAGGCAAAGTTTCCCATTTTTGAAAAAGAGAACCATCAGAATATGTTACAGAGACGTCAATATCCATATTCAGCGACGATGTTAGCCCAGAGCCAAAGAGTTTGATCAAAGCTAATTTAAATAAGACATATTCTTCTTCATTTACTGTTGGTACTTTAATGCTTTGGTAGAGTATTTCGAAACAAAACTTGACATCAACATCGGATAAAGGAAAAAATCCGGGTGTTTGGAGTTTTTGGTATTTCTCAGAGTTGAATGCTATTTCAAACACAATTTTATATTCCTGAATAGTCAATTGTTTCGTATCAAAGGAAGTTATTTTTGCAGTCATTTTTTTTTCAAACAAAACACCTTAAGTACGAGTAATACAAATCTACTTGTTACTGTAATTCACAAGAAGTATATTTTATTTTAGATAGGGAGTTTTATCTTAAGACACGTACATACATGACAAGATATGAAATCCTCCTACCCAATTATCTCTTTTATCAGCATTCTGCACCAAGTTTCAAAATCAAGGCCTCAAGCTTCGGCAATATTTTTATCTCAACGATAAAAAAATCGACATTTTTCTGTTAGGTAGACATTAACAAATATTTATTTATTTCCTTGTTTTAACGGAATATTTTACTCTTTATGTTTGAAGTTTTTTGGGATATTCTTTAATATAGTACGAGGTGGTAGTTAGTAGTAAGATTATATATAATAAAACATATTACTTCAGTAATGTGATTTGAATTACGGACTTCATCCGTATTCATCATAAAAATTAATTATGATTAATCACTTCACCGAAGTCATTTATATCGGAACTGTTAAAAGTAAAATTGATTAAAATATATAATCTAAATTGATTAAAAAAATTAAATTGATTGAAATAAATTATTTAAATTGATTAAAATAAATCATTGAATTATCTAAGTGCTTCGAATTATAAAATGAATCATTGTAGGGTCATCAGTATAATTGATTATAAAACATATCATTTCACTAATGTGATTTGAATTACGAACTTTATCCTGTCGTTAACATCAAAATTAATTATAAATAATCGATGCACTTTACTGAAGTAATTTATATCAGAACTGTTAGCAGTAAATTTTATTAAAATAAATCATTTCACCCAAGTGCTTCGAATTACAAACTGAATCGAAGGTTATCAGTATAATTTATTATAAAACAAATCACTTCACTTAGGTGATTCAAACTGATGCAACTTATTTGAATAAATCCATTTTATTTCAATAAATGAATTTGAATTAACACATTAAAATCATTGATTCTAAGCGGTTAATTTTCTCTTTAAATAAGAGATTTTATGTAATTCGCAGCAAAGTTTCGGATTTTTAACTTAAGTGATCTCAAATGTAAGTTAAATAAAGAATTTCACTGTAATTTCAAAATGTAATGATCAATGTAAATAATAGTAATTACAATATTATAATGTATTCACAAAGAAATCATACTCTCTCTCGTAATCACATTTTAGTTGTATAAAAAGAGAGTTATTAAATTTTTATTTCGGAAGAAAATTAACAGTGACATCATACCCAATCGACGGATGAGTTTTAACGAGTTCTTTCCAATCTTCTCTAGGAACAATTTCTTTGATGTGATTGACCGCAAAATTTACCGCAGCAGTTTCTAAGTCAGAATTAGTGAAGCTGTAGGCCAGTTTGAGTATTTCACACACTAAGTCTACAGATAAAATAGAAATTACTGCATCAGTACACTCAACCTTCAAAAATCCAACATCATATTTATCCACTAAGTAATAAAGTTCTTTCAGAGAATCCCAAGACTTGTTTTCAAGCTTTCCACCATACAAAGATCTGAGGAACAATTCAAAGACTTCAGGTGTTGCATCCGTAATGATAACGCTGTTGGTCTTGGATTCCATGAAATCGTCGGTCATCATTTTCATGAAAACAGGAGAATGAGCAGAAAGGATGATTTTGTGAACAGGAAAGGATTTATTGCCTACTTTGAAGACAAAATCAGTCAACACACTTTGTTCGTAGATTGACTTCAGATTTCTTATAACATCAACACATTTGCATGATTTAATTTCATTACCTGTTGTGATATGTGATGTTTGATCTTGATCCAAAATTGTCATTTTGCATTTTAAAATTAAAGTTTTATTACTCAATTTTTGTAAATGTTGCCATGGGCCAAGCTTAGCTCGNTGGGTCATCATTTTCATAAAAACAGGAGAATGAGCAGAAAGGATGTTTTTGTGAACAGGAAAGGATTTATCGCCTACTTTGAAGACAAAATCACTGAACACACTTTGTTCGTAGATTGACTTCAGATTTCTTATAACATCAACACATTTGCATGATTTCCTTTCATTACCTGTTGTGATATGTGATGTTTGACCTTGATGTAAAATTGTCATTTTGCATTTTATAATTAAAGTGTTACTACTCATTTTTTGTAAATGTTGCAATGGGCCATACATATCTCGAACTACTTCTTTAAAATTAACGTAGTTTATTTTATCATTTAAAACCATGCTTGGATATTCCATAAAAATAGATCCATCTGAATATTTCACGACAACTAACACTTTTAATGTTGGCGAGATTCCAACATTAGAGAGTTTTACAAGTGTCAGTTTGAATAAATATGCTAAGTATACTTTTCGATACAATGCTTTGAAACGAAATGTTAGATTTTGATCAGAGAATGGCGCAAAAGCTGGAGTCTTGACTTCAATAGGATTATCAGGTGTAAATATTGTCCATTCACCTTCGTATTCATTCTTAGCCATATTGGTATAAAAGTTTTGATACCAATATTTGAACGAAACAACTTACGAACAAATTGATACACCTATAGCGAAAGTTCAAATGAAATAACTGTATATTTTTGAGACAATGACAATTGAATGCTGATTTAACCGGTGATAAAGTTATCTTACGGAAAGAGCTGATAGAAAGATATTGCGTCAAGTTGAAAAGCACATACATTGTAAAACTCAACCACCTCAAAAACAGAACCAGCATTCAGCATTGTGATGTGAGATTGAGCTGAAACGGATTGTAATTTCATCTTAATTGCCGAATTCCTGTTTCATTTCTTTTTCTCACGAAAAAAATTGAGCCAATAATATTTTTTCACTTAAAATTTGACATTAAATGAGCATTAAAAACTAAGAAATAAACAATTAATTTAATAACGATTTATTTAATCAACCCTTTTAAATTTTACAAGCATAGTTCAGAAAGTTTTACTTTTTTTTTTTTTTTTTTACTTTGCTTCAATCAAAGCAAATCTATTCGCCTCGTTATCGCATTACTGCATAACATATAACATTAATTTTTTTTAAAAAAATTTTTAATATTTGGAGAGCATAATATATTTTGGAATCTAAGCATAATTGCATTTCATATTAATCATTTTAACTAACATTTACTATATTGTTAAAATGATTAATACGTAGCATGAAACTAATGTAACAAACATGATTATATTCATTTAAAAAAATAAATTATAGGCATGGCATAAATTAATTCTTTTATAGTAAATTTTTTTCTCCAAGAAATTAACGTTTTATTGGGAAATTTCAGCGTACAATTTTGATAAATATCAGTGTTATAGGCCGGCATAGCCTGGTTGGTAGGGTACTGGGCCCACCGATTCTCGCCGGCAGAAGACTCCCCGTGCAGTAAACGGTGACTGATGCACATTAAATCTGTCGAGTCTCAAAGTCCTCCATGTTTCCATATACATCTCTGGGGGTACTGATCAAGGAGTTTCCTTGTCCTCTGGATTGGTTTAAAATTACAAGGCTATAGAATTGAACTTTAGTAGACTTAAACCCAAAATTGGGTTGGCTTTTCAACGACGGTTACATAATAAAAATATCCGGGGATAGAGCGTTTGCCTCCCAATGAGGTGAACCAGGTTCGAATCCCATTGATGGCTGGTCTATACGAATATCGCATTCGTCTTGCATCGGCGACAGTGCTGACGTAAAATATTCTCAGTGGTAGACGGATCATGGATGAAGAGTCCCCTTTTCGTAAGGCTAATTGGGGGAGGTTTCCGTATTTTTCCTCTCCATGTAACGCAAAAGAGGGTTATTTTCATCTAAAAGTCCTCCACGAAGGAAATTTTCTCCCAATACTTGATCCGGGAGTTCCCTTATCTTCTGGATTGAGTTCAAAATTACAAGGCTACGGAGTTGAACATTGGTAGTCGTAACGGAGTTGAACATTGGTAGTCACAAAATTGGATTGGTTGACGTTGATAAAATAAAATATCCGTTCTAGGAGTCGTGGTGGCTCAGGGGATAGAGCGTTCGTCTTCCAATGAGGTGAACTGGGTTCGAATCTCATCGATAGCTGGATGATACGAACTCTACAACCGGATTCTAAATTTCTGAGAAAATCAAGGTATTTTTTGAATTCAACATTTCGACACCATACATAAAATGTGATTGGTGATCATCAAAGAATAACATTTTGCATGATATAACGTAAGTATTATCAAAATGTTAAGGATTATCATTTTATCAAAATGGGAAGTAAAACTACCGTTTGCTACCCGAATGGGTAGCAAACGGCAGTTACATCGCTTAAGGTAGTATCATTCATATTATCAGCATTCATAGAAGAACGCTCATAATATTCGCGAAGAAACAATCCATCAGAAAAATCAATTTTCCCGCTAATAGTTGTTTATAATGTAGGAGAGATATGAACAGCAGAGTTTCACAAGTTAAAATTTGAACAAGGAGTTATAAAGAATCATTCTATTATTACCCAGAGAGCAAAATAAGGTTTATTTGAATTCAGAAAAAACCCTTTATGTAAACCTAAAAAGGTTTGTTATGCGGTTTACGTGTAAAACTTCAAACCTTGAAAGAAGATCTGTGACAACCTGCTCACAGATCTACGCATATTACCCTAATCCGAAACCTTGGAAAACAACCTTCTATATAAAAACCTTAAATAGATGTTGACTTTGGATTTTCAAGTGAGAAAAAATCCTTTCAAAAAGATAGTCCCAAGGGTGAAAATGATCTGAAATCTAGGTAATGATAAGGTTTCTTTTCGCAAAGTCTTGCACGCTCTGCTAAAATCCACCTTGTCTCGAAATTTTAATGGACTACGCAATTTGATCCTATAGCTAGTGTGACGTTTGTTAAAACGTCATTATGGACCTCAATGACCATTTTACCTAGGTGATAATACTTTTTATAAAGTCTTTAAAAATAATTTTTAATCTTTTTACGATGCAAGGTTTGAAACTGCAATATTTTTGCTTTAAAAAAAGGTTCTTAGTACAAACATTTTTGTGACAATCAAAAGAAAATTTTGACACAAGGTTGCCGCAAGGTTACATGTTTTCTGGGAAGGTTTAATTCATGAATGCCACGTTTGAAAACAAAATTTGTACTTTCATCAATCAGGCCGATGAGGAAAAGAAGGTGTCAATATGTTCTCAGATACATCTAGACAATCTCATGTCAATAATTCCATTCAATCAATAATGACAATCAATAATTCCATTAACCCTTGTATTTCTTTGGAAGAATTTTTTTGCCATTTTGAAAAATCGAAATTCTGTCTTATTATTAAAATGTCTAACACTGTATCAGATTTTTATGCAGCTACTGATACAACCTATTGATATGACTTTAGTATGTATTATGTTAATTATAGTTAAAATCTATTGCACACATTAAAGTTGATTTAAATTTTAATGATTTGTTGTTGTTGTTGTTAATTCACGCCAGGCCCGGACTGGCCAGTAGGCAGACCGGGCAAATGCCCGGTGGGCCGGTCTGACCTGAGGGCCGGTTGGACTGATCTAGCAGCGCAAAATTTTTTTTTATACGTTGCATGAATTTCAAATAATATTGCGAAATAATAATATTCAATAACATATTTGTAGTAATAATAATGTTTTAATATACAGAACATGCGTGCCACCCATTTTTTTCGAGAATGGAGCAAATTTGAAGTATTTATCGATTTGAAATATTGAAGTATAAGTCGATTTGAAATAAAAAATCTAATAACTCAATCGATCCCAAGGAGTTCAATAGTGATATTGTTAATTCCCAGAAGTAGCCGGAAGTACCGGAATTTGAACACAGTTTTGATTTTTTAAATGGAAACCTATATCTTATTTTACATCATTGGAGAGGGTTTTCGAAAAAAAGTAACTTTTACTTGAATTTTTTTTATATCTCTTACTGTTCTCAAGATAATAGATACGAAAAAATTCTGATTATTTACTTCAATTTATCATTTTTATCAAAAATAATTCACTTAAATTATCAAAATCGCTTCATTTCTTATAAAACATGCGAAGAAAAGCATAAATGTGTTTTTATGAAGGTAAAAGACATTATGACGAAATTTTTTTTTTTTTTAGTGAATATGTCATAATCTATTTAATATGTATTTTTTCTCATCTATTACCATGAAAATAGTAGGAGATATTAAAAAATATTTTAAGTAAAAGTTATTTCTTTTCAAAAACTCTCCAATGATGCCAAATAAGATATAGGTTTCTATTTAAAAAAGATATAAAATATCGTGTATATGAAAGACTTCTCGCTGTTGTAAAATGTAAATCTTCAACCGGACAGAATGTGTTGTCCTTAGTGGATTCAGTTTTAAAGTCTTGTAATATAGATATAACAAAGTGCATCGGTAATTCAACTGACGGGGCTGCAAATGTGCAAGGTGAATATAAAGGATTTTCGTCATGGCTTTCCAATGAGTCCCCTGGTCAAATTCATGTTTGGTGTTATGCACATGTCTTAAATTTAGTTTTAGGAGATACCACGAAGGCACTAATTGAAAGTGCATCGTTTTTCAGTCTACTAAATAGCGTCGCCATATTTTTTCGCGAATTATACCAACGCATGAACATCTGGGAACAAAGTAACGAGCACGGAAATAAAAAAGGGCTCGCAACTATTGGACAAACACGTCCAAAGATTCTGCATTAAAGAAAAATTTTGGTTAATTTTCAAACTCAGATTCAACTATTAAGTCGTTATATGTCACATGGATTACAAGTTTAGAAACTACAAGGGGTGATCAAATGAAGAGGTACAAATGTAGACTTTATTCAAAATATTCACCATAGGCCTAAACACAACGATCGAACTGATGAACAAGCCGCAGGATTCCTTGTTCCCAAAATCCTGTGGCCGTGACGAGAACCAGTCAGCGACCTTGAGTACGTCGTCCGAGTTGAAGCGTTTCCCTTTCAGGTGTTTCATCAGTGGAGCAAACACATGGAAATCGCAATGCGACATGTCCGGACTGTAGGGCGGATGGTCCAATGTCTACCACTTGAACTTGACCAGTTCCATGTGTGTGACTCTGGAGACGTGTGGACGAGCGTTATCATGGAGCAGAGCCACACCTTCCGTGAGCAGTCTCGGTCTTTTGCTCTTCATGGACCTGCGTAGGTGTCGGAGTGTTCCGCTGTCAGAAATCGAATAACACCTCGCTGTTCCTCAATCGTCGAATTTTGCAAAGCGAACGGCATCCTGTCCTCATGCGGACTGCCGCATCATTTGGACGCCGCTTTTGATACGAGCCTCTGCTCTCTCCTGTGCATGCGGGCTCCCGTGCATGCTCCGATCTCAGTCAAAGACTCCAATCGCATCCCGAGATGTCTCGCTACGTTCTCTTATGGCGGAATATGCAAATATTTAACTGTTAACTGTCGTTTCGTACCTTTTCATTTGATCACTCCTTGTATACAACAAAATTCAAATTTCAAACCAGATATCCATGCAAAGGCAAAAATATTTTTAGAATCATTTTGCAAATATGAAACAGTAATCACCGCCAAAATATTCTCAAGTATATTTGAAATAACTACACCGCTCTTTGCAA